TGGTTTTGAAGTTGGACTCTGGCTCAGTCCCTCTCCAGTTTCAAGCCTGTTAATAAGAGAAAAACCCAGAGTTTCTGGAGTTTCTGTCTCATGTCAAGAGCCATGATATGGGACAGAGAGAAATATGAGTTTAGAAAACATCTTTGCTTTTCTCCATATCTATCATACTTTTCATTGAATATATCTATCATGCCTTTCATTGAATATATATATGTATGTCTATATTATTAATGTTTAAGTTTTTCACAATGAACAATGAGTTTTTCCTGAAGTGACATTTGAAGTTTCCAGGAAGAAGATGGGGCCCCACAACAACAACTCTACCTGGTTGATATGACGTCATGATACTGATAGCGCTACTACAAGACCTGTTTTGGATACCAGCTGCACAAGACGATCCCAGCTTGGTTAGCTGAAATGGTGCACATCTTGTACAACATTCTGGCCAGACCTCCACAAAATACTCAGAGACTATTTGCAATTTTAAAAGACATTGATCTTGAAATTTAACCATCATTTTACTTTCACAGGATCCCCCAGAAAGAACGTCGCCCCCATGAGAGCTGGAAGTAATTCTAGAGGACTACATCCCCTCTCCCAGTAAAATTTACCCCTGGGTTTAGGGACATCATTTAGGGGTTGGGAGGTTGAGGGAGGAATTTCATAAGCTCAGGGATCATTTTGAAAAAAAAAAAGAGGGAATGATGGGATAATAGATTTATAATTGTGAGTTACTGCTTTTAGACAAATATATTGGTATCGATTCTTGTATATTGACACAAAGTTAAATTATATTGACTATTGTATGCATGCATGTTTCTATCTCTGTTTAAAACATTTTTTATGTATTGACATATATTGTATTGATAAATATATATTGTATATATTTACCATATTGCAGTGTACATTTCTACCTCTGATTAAGATACTTATATAATGTTTGTGTATTGATATGTATTTACCATATTGCAATGTATATTTGTACAGTGTTTATATTTGGAGGTCATTATCCTCATTTGTTACACAGTTGTTTATTGTCTTAGTCTTTAAGTTAGATAGATATTGAGAATTATATAGATAAATAGTCATCTAAGTTTGTCATTTATAATTAGACTAATCAGGTTCTCTAGATATATAGAGATTATACTCAGTATAGATAGATAATCTTCAACCTCTTCAAAGAGCTGTAGAAAATGGCCTTTAATCTAACTCAGAGTTTCGTGATAGTGAGACACAATTGCTCCTGGCAACACCGCTCTATTCCCGAGAGAATGTTGAGCACCAAAGACACTCCACCTGGAGCCTTTCTTTTTGGCAGAACTGGCCTTTGGGCAAAGAAATGCCCATACCTCAACCACTGACAGAGATACAGAGCATGCATCAATGGATAAAACAGGACTGTCATATCCTGCCAAGACAGGGTAAGATAGTTTTGAAAAGTTCCTTGCCTTTAATAATGGTATGTCAGTTTTGTTAGGCCTTAGCCAAAATTGGTTGACTCAACATTGCAAACAAGACTTTGGGTGATTGCCCAGGTAGTCAGTTGTCTCTGTCAATTGTTGCACATTTTGGATATATCTCATTTGTTGAGTAGTGTTTATTCCCTTCTCAGATCTTTGACGGAGTTGAAGATTATATAATTGTAGTTACTCTCTACATTATTTGGACTCCTTGAGATAGAATGTTTAGCAAAGATTTTGTTCTCAATATTGTTGGTTATATTTATTATTTGTTGTTATTGTATATAGTTGTATTTGGTTTGGTTCTGTCTTATTTAGACAAAAAGGGGAGATGTAGGGATAAGTCCCGCCCCTTGGGGGGCGTGTTCGCCTCGGGCTAGTGTCTGCCTATAAATTTGGTGAGCATGCTCCCAGCCGTCGCTTCTGCTTTCCTGGTCTCCGCGGGAACGGTGGTTCTGTAAGTCTATTTCTACATTAAAGCTATAGATATATATATTTTTACAATCTGTCTGCATTCGTTTACGCTGTTACAATCTGTCTCACTATGTATCTACCTATCTCTGTCCATCCATCCATCCATCCATCCATCCATCCATCCCTATCCTGAAAACATTCAAATGAGTTTCCTTGGGGGGAATGCTTCTGTTATAGTTTAGACATTGAACAACCTCTACAGGCTGAATTCTTAATGGCTTATTTCTCCGGCTGGTGCTATGCGAGGTGGTTGAACCATTAAGAAGTGGACTTCATGGTAAGACTGGTATTGGAGATACAGCCTAGAAGAAGGCTGTGGATCCTTCGTGGCCTCTTTCCCACTTTCTTTCACTTCCTAGATATTAGATGAATGGTGTTGCTCCCTTGCCTGATTTCCTAATACAGAGTTCTGCCTTGCCACTGGCCCAAAAGAATGGTCATGGATTAATACCTGCAGACCTATGAGCCAAGGTACTTTTCTCTTTATAAGTTAATGACCTCAGGGTCCTCACTGGGGTGATGGGACACTGCCTGCCACCATTCCATTCAAAACTTTCCTGAAGAGATTTGCAGGTGTTTTTGACCAGATCTGCCTTGGTGTAGGGATTACCAGAGCAAGCCCTTGAGTGTCACTGGCTCATATCCTAACTCTACCATTTAGTGTCTTTAGACATGTTTTAAGCATGTTTTAAAATGTTTAGCAAATCATGTCTTAGTGCACTCCTCTATTTAGTAAGAACAACAATTCAACACTTGTAGGGATTAGACATGTTCATACATGCCATATGCTTAGACTCATGGTCGATCAACCTATTGTCATTATTATACTTCAACAGTTCTGTAACATACACTGTCATAGCTGAAGCCATAAACACTCTACAGCACAAGAATAATAATATCCATGTCTTATTGGTGATTATAACAAAGCTCTGTCACATGTTGTCAAGAATCATCTGTTGATAAGCCAAGATTTGAATCCCAGTCTTTGTCTCTTAAACACTGGATTATTCCCAATTACATTGAATGATTCGCTCGATTATTTATACTAGTCCATAGCAAACATAGACACTGTGAAATGTTGATGGTGGGCAAATTCAGAAAAGAAGAAACAACTGAGACATTCTATCAAATCTAGGAGAAAGTAAGTGGTTGCAAGTGTTCGCCGAAGCAGCGGCTCCTGACGTCATGACTTAGTATGTAGTAATTTTGAATACTTCAAATTCTAAATGAGAAAGAGCAGAAGAGGGGGAAGACAAGGGGAATGGAAGAGGAGTACTTATACATAATTTAAAATGATTTTGCGTTCATTATGCTAACATACGAAGTAAGAGGTTTCCTTGTAGCGCTCTTCTCCACAGGCTTCACCGCTTTGTTCTCGTTCGTTCCCCTTCCCTGCTGTCTGCTGTGTCCCCTGTGTCACCCATTGCTGATACTCTCCCTCTACCCACAGAGTGTCCCAATTCCCCTTTCATGGGTATGTATTTTTTGTCTCAAATTTTACTCTTTTCTGAAAACAGATAAATTCCCATCTTGAAAACAAATCACCTCAGGAAAACACAGAACTGTGGAATGTTTACACAACCTGAGACGGACTTGAACATCTAAAGGTGAAGTTTGTCTCCTCGTTACCACCATAGTTCACAAGCTCATGGTGGCCTTGCTGGCTCTGATATACAGTGGACATTCAGGCCTCTTAGGCCTCGAAGAAGGAGGCTATTACCCCCATGAATCCTTAGTCACATACAAGTTTTATGAGACAAGCAGAAGCTGGTCAATACTCACAGACAACTGGCACACCCCGTCGTTCCTAATGAATTTTAATAAGTTAGGACATTTGAATGGAACCCTGGGGAAAGGATTCTCCATGACTGACACTCCTTGTAGTATTGGCATCTATTCTCATTCATAAGCTTGGGCTGTGTCAGCCTTTAGGACTTTCAAGAGAATTCTACTTAGTACAAGAAGTCTCTTCATTAGGAATCTAGTTTAGATTTTAAGATGAGCTAAACATGCAAATCCTTCAAACTACCTTCAAATTATAAAATGTAGTTTAAAAAACACATTAAAAGCTACATTTCAGGGATGGTTTCTGGGGGAGGGAGTTTTGCGGAAGGGTAAAAAGGCCTCCGGTAGGCTGACCATGCTCCAGTGGGTGGTCCCATACCCTTCGATGCATGAGCAGCACAAAGTGGATTCAGTGGGTTACAAATAAATAGATAGATAGATAGATAGATAGATAGATAGATAGATAGATAGATGGCACAAAATTGGAAGGCGGTAAGAAGGTGGGGGTAGATCTGGGAGGACTTAGGGGGATGAAGCAGGGGATGACTATGATCAAAATACGTTGCATGAGATTTTTACATATTAATAAAAGTTTTGCAAAAACACACATTTCAAGCAAAGGTAAGAATGCTCAAAATGACCATCATAGACAAAAGGGCACCTTTCAGCTCCAAATGAGTAGCAAACATGCCATGCCTATATATGATCAGTATGAACTTTTCCTGTGGTTCCCATCCTTACAAGGCTTCTCAGAGTAGCCCAGGTAGAAATATGGCATTTCTTAGTTACAGTCTCTACAATTCCATTGACTCAGACTAATGAACATTCCTGAGACATAGAACCATACATTGTTATTTAGTTCAACAAGTGCTTGTCTATTTTTTCCCTTTCAGCCTCGGTTTCTCTCAGCATCTTAGTCGTCTTTATGGCTCTAACAGGCCTTAAAGGGCACAGGACAAACTTGAAATCAGAAGACAGAACAGCACCATTACGCTAAGCAAATAATTACTGAGATAATAAAAATGTCAATTTCTTTTTTTAAAGACAACCCTCACCCTTGCTTTGCTGGGTTTTTTTTTTTTTTCTCTTTATTTTGATGAACAATCCTGTCTGGTACCAACTTCAACTAGTCTCGGATCAAGAAGTGTTTGTGAACCAGGTGACCCAGTCCCATCAACACCAACAAAGCATGTGTTTGAGGTCCCACTGCATGCCAGGCATAACCTCACGATTTCCTGATTCTTGCCCATAAAATCAGAGTCCCCCAAAACCCCACCTTACCTGCTTCCCATCCAGGGTGTACAGGCGCTTCACCACGCCCGAGTCCAGCTTGATGGCATCGGTAATGTCAGTGAGAACCTGCTCGAAGGAATGCGCCGTCTTCTTGTTCAGCAGGATCCTGACAGCCTTCCGTGGCTTCACTCCGCTTCTGATGATGGTGACCAGCTTGGGCCGAATGAAATCCTTATTCTCCCGAACCTCTGAGGGTCCCCCCTTGGCAGTGGCCAGCGAAGACACTGCCCGGGAAGCCGAGGTGGTCTTGACATTCACGGACCAGTTGGGGTTCACATTCTTGGTGTATTCCAACTTCTTAAAGGGCTCAATGGAGCCGCAGACATAGCTTTCACCTGAGGAAGAGAGGGGGATTTCAAGTTGACATCTGGGGAACCCATTTCCTTCCTCACAATTGGTCTCTCGTGTCTCCATTTCTACGCAGGGCAAGAGTTGCCTATGACTTTCAAATCAATGAAAGAATGACTGCAAATTAACTTAAAACACGATTTCTTTTGTTGATGCAGACTAGCTTATTGTGAAGGAAAACAAAGCAAAACAAAACAAAACAAAAAACCCACCGATAGAAACACATCAATATGCATGAATCAGCTTCCAAAGGGAAACGAACTGGAAGTCAAAATTGAGATTATCTGTCGGTACATAAGAGCCTTTAAATTTTCGGCAGACTTCAAAATTAGAAGTGCTTACATCTGGTACCTGAGGTAATTGGAAAACTACAACCAAATCAGTACACAGCTTCTTAAGATAGGTAATACATGTTTAGTGAAAGCACAATACAAAATTCTGTTTAGCCAGAAGAAGTTGTAAAAGCCAGCAGAGATGATTACCCTTCTTTTCTATTGTCTACGTCATGCTGATCAAGCCACACAGGCAAGCAAGTCAGTTCAAACTTGCTGGCAGGCAAAAATGAAGAAAATGACTTGCCTGCAAGCTGTACCCTCACAAATGCACTCGAATACCACGAAGGGTTTATTAATCGGTGACTCGAGAATTTGCTAACGAAACACTCAGTCTGAAAATATCTAGATTAGTCACAAAAGAATACAGCACAGGTGCTGTAATAAGTTGTGAAATAAGTAATTCTAAATACATATTTCACAGGAATGAGGCAGAAACACGTTAAAAGTAAAGATTTTTATCCCAGCACCCCCACCCCACCCACACCTCATTAGGAAGCCTTTGTGAGCAGAACCTGGTAACTGCAGGTAAAGTGGCCCAGGCCTCATTCAGCACAATCCATTTACTGTTATCCAGGTTCTATTTTTAAACTAACAATACGCGCGTGCCATGCCATGGGCTTAGGCAGCCACATAAAAATATCCCATCCCCAACTGGAGTTTCAAAAATAAAAAGGCAGTTGCGTCTGCGTCTTAGTTTGCCTCGTATGGTTGAGGTTAAACACTAACCGAGATAAACCTGGGGAGAAAGGGTTTATTTCAGCTTCTGGCTCCATCATGGAGTGAAGTCGGGCAGGAACACAAGGCAGGAACCTGGAGGCAGGCGCTGAAGCAGAGGTCATGGAGGAGGGCGCTGCTTACTGACTTGTTCACCATGGTTTGCGCAGCCTGCTTTCTTAAAGCACCCAGGACCACCTGCCCAGGGGTGACACTACATTAATAAAGAAAATGTTCCCAGGCCAGGTGGTGGTGGTGCTGGCTTTTAATCCCAGTACTCGAAAGACAGAGCAGGCAGATCTCTGTGAGTTCGAGGCCAGCCTGGTCTACAAGAGCTAGTTCCAGGACAGGCCCCAAAGCTATAGAGAAGCCCTGTCTCGAAAAACCAAAAAAAGAAAAAAGAAAAAGAAAAAAAGAAGAAAATGTTCCCATAGACTAGATATAGGCTACCTAATGTGGTGTTTTCTCAGTTGAAGTTCCCTCTTTCTCAGCTGATCCTAGCTTGTGTCAAGTTGACATAAAACTAACCCAGACAACACATGTAACAACACTTATTTTGCTAAGGATTTTAAACTCTTCTTTCAAACATGCCTATTACACACCACAGAAACCTATAAAACTAAAGTTTCATCCATCCCCCTTCATTGACAGAGCCTGATTGATGCCAAGTATATTTTCCCCAGTATCCAAGTAGATATCATAGATAGATGTGCATACACACGTACATGTGTGTGTCCATACGTGTAAACATATATGATGCTGGCAGCGGTGTCATTCAGACTTTGTTAAAGGATTATGGACTCATCGGTAGGATGAGCTATATAAAAATTCGGGCCCAGGACTGTGCTATGTAAGCATGTGACCTTGGACCAGTCCCTTAGATTTCAAGGTTGCTCTATGAAGCTTCACTGAGCTCTTATGGAGGTCAGATTAGAAAGCCTGGGAATTCAGCTTACTACACATATAGCACAGAGTGCTGGATTCGATCCTTAGCACTCACCCACGCTCAGCAGACAGTGGAGATAAAAGTGTCACAATGCGTAGTTGTTCTAAAAGTGGCCAGAGGCAGCTTTCCTCTTACCCATGCAGTAGGTTTGGAAGGACAACTTGAACCAGTAAGTTAGCCATAGATCAGGCTATGTGCTGCTGCCTGCCATCTCACCTGTAATCCTTACCACAGCCTCTCCCTGTGGGTCACACTGAGGTACGATGGATGACCTAGGTAGCTGGCTCAAGGTCACATGACTAGTAAAGATGAAACCAAGATTCAAAGAGTAATTGGTATGAGTCTAGAGCCTGTGTTCTTACTCATGATTCAGTGTGTGTGTGTGTGTGTGTGTGTGTGTGTGTGTGTGTGTCTGCCTCTTAGGAGGACACCTGTCTGAGATGAGATAGAATAATAGCTGTCCTTGTTAGATTTTTGATTGCCACAAGCTAGAGCTGTCCGGGAAGAAGATCCTTGACTGGGCAATGTCTCCATCGGATTGGCCTTCAAGAAAGTCTGTAAGGAGATTTTCTGATTGAGCACTGATGTGGGAGGGTCCAGCCCACTGCGGGTGATGTCACCTCTGGGGAGGTGGTCCTGGGTTATTTCAGAAAGTAAACTGAGGGAGCCACAGGTGCAAGCTAGTAAGAGCTCTGAGGCCTCTGCTTCCAGGTGCCTTCACTGAGTTCCTACCCTGCCTTTCCTCCATGACGGACTGCAGGATGTTAGCTGAAACGGACCCTTTCCTCCTCCGTGTGCTTACGTCATGGTGCTTATCAAGGCAGCAGAAAGCAGACAGAAACAGAAGAAACAGGGACCACAGCTAGGTTGCAGAAAGACGAGGGATTTTTTTTTTACACTGTTTCAAAAAATTTTCCACAATGTTTATTGAAGATGTGTGTATTTCTCTTTCAGTCCTAAAAGTGCGGTGAGGTTGTAAGTCCCCAGTACTAATGTCTTAGAAACTTCCAAACAGCAAAAGAAAGGAGAGAATTAATCGGAGAAATGACTCAGTCAGAACAAACAAGGCTTGGTATCATCTTGGATTTGAAAGGTAGAAAGGGTAGAAGTTACAGGTGATATTAAACTAGAAGCATCTTATTCCATCAGGCATCTATGTCAGAGTGCCACAGACAAGGTAGTTTACAAATGCCAAACATTTCTCTCTGGAGGTTCTAGAAAGTGGTAGTCCCAGATCGAGACTGGATTCATAGAGCCTCTTCCTGGCAGATGGCACCATCCTGCTGTGTCTTCATAGAGGGAATGGGCAAGGCAGTTCCAATAGGGATCTTTTATCAAGCATATATTCTATTTGTGAGTCCATCCTCACGACCTAGTCACAAAGTTTCTGTCTTTTAACAGCATCGCATCAATGGTTATGTTTCAACATAAGACCTTTGGAGTTCGCCAATATTAGCAAGCTGGTAGGTGGTGACATCACCCAAAAGGTCTGTAACAGGAGAAGAGAAACAGATTCTGGATGGTGGCAAAGGGGGTGTCACATTGACACAGCCGAGTTGGATAAGACCAAGGGTTCATTTCAACTGAATACATCTAGGCAGCTAGAGTGCAGAAGAGAAGTCTGGTCTGAGGAGAGAGGTCATTATTTAATAGTGCCCTTAAAATAATGGGAACTAGTGAGATCACAGAAAATGATCCGAGACAGGAGAGTGGAGGGAGGGCACCATGTCTAAAGTGTGGCAGATAAAGAAGGAAGTAGAAATTCACAAATAGGACACCACGGCAGCAATCACTACAGCTCTACTGACAGATGCTCAGTTGTATAAAGAGCAACTCAAGGAGAGACCATATGTCTACAAGGATTCAAAGGTTCTCCTACAATACTTACTCATTGCCAAGAGGGGCACAGTAACTTCAGAATTAACATTTACCTAAAGTTGCTGACTTTAGGTAAGGCGTGTGGACAGAACATTTCCTTGAAATGACATCCTCAGAGGGATGTAGTGTTCCTTCTGTGGGATCTCTATGCCAAACACTCAGTACCAAACCAACCATCAGACCAAACCAGATGGGCAATCTGCAGGCTAAGGAAATAATATTCAGATTCCCAAGGGCTGCCATGGCTCAGCGGAAGCAACAGAGACATGGCGGCTAAATGCAATGTCTGTTTGCTTAAAAGCAATAAAATCCACAACCTCCATGGAGAAGAGATGGAATTCAGTGGCTGGGACGTGTTGTTAGTCTACAGACCTTCCATTATGGAAGCTGGCCAAAGGGAGAGCAAGACACCCGTCTTGCAGTACCTCTGTAAGACCAAGGTAGTTTCTACATGAACTATTTGTGATTTACTCAAATGATTTGATTTTTAAAAGTAAAATCTAATCCTCAATTCACACATTAACTCTATACTCTTCTCCATTAAAATATTTTCCTAAAAATGCAACAAGAAAATGCGGAGAAATGACTTCTTGAACCCAGTGCACACAGCAGACATGAAAATAGAGCCATCAATTGAAAGACTAGCATATTTGATTATATAAACTTTTGTATAAATCTACATGACAGAAAACACAATCAACAAAGCCAATAGGTTAAGATGAATATAGAAAAAAACTCATTAAAACAAAGGATTAATATTTTAAAAAGAAAAATAGATCCAAGTCAGGAAAGACTCCAAGGTGGCAGAAAATGATAAAAGTACAAAGCAAAGGGCATAGCAAAATATGTAAATGTCCTTTAAACACATGAATGACGGAAATTAAAACCATAACAAGATAGAAGTATTTTCTTGATATACAGAAAAATGACAAGATACTTGATAACATCATCCCCTTGAAGGTGGTCAGAGTGGAAATTGGTGGACAAGAATTCTCTGGTCATCTATTACCACCATGCAACAATGTTCTAGGCAATCCTCCTAAAATCAACCACTCACATGGACAGGCAATATATTTCCAAGTGTGCTCACTGTAATACTATTCGTAACAACAAACCGTTGCACATATCTTAGAACCTCATCAAGAGGAGACTGGTTAACTAAACTAAGGTCCCTCCATACAAGGAATAGTGTTAAGTAAATAAAAGGACACGCTTGTTCAGAATGTTATTGATAGGAAAGGGTCTCCAAGGTATTAAAGCTAAGTGAAAAGCAAGGTGCAGAACTGGATGCATTTAAAGCTACCATTCTGGGTTGATTACATGTAGATGTAATATGTTTAGTAACACTAAGAAAGGACTGAAAATGAAGAAAGAACACAGCTACTACACACCGGGGACTTTCATGGAAAAGCCTGCTTTACAGCTTTACAGAAATTAATTATTAAATTATTTGACACGTCAGAGGGAAGCCCAGTGAAATTAAATGAGCTACATAGAGCAGAGAAGCTACGCCAAGATAGGAAGAAAACCATCCTAAAAGACAGGCAAATAAAAGTGAGGCCAGGCAAGAAATCCCTTAACTGCTAGGTGAAATGCTGTGGATTGGATAAAGTCCTTCCTATAGCCACGTAGTTAGGCAACTTGTGCAAAGACACATGGGGAAATGGAGGAAGGGGTGGGACCCCATTGTTTCTAACAGTTCTGATCCAACAAGCTCGGACTTATTGATGTTCAGGGACTTAGTAGCTGCATTATTTGTATCCTGAGATGAAAAGGTTCTGGTCCTCCCACTCCTAGAAATGCAGGGGAAGGAATCAGCCAACCATTGTTCAGGATCCTGCCACATCCCTCTTTTAAGAGTCTGAAGGATTTAGGTGTGGTTCTCTGATTTCTCCACAACAGCTGTATCCCCAAAGTAGAACCAAAATGGCTCAGAACTGGGGAAGGAGGTCACACCCCAGGTGAGCCACTGCCAAAAGAGGGCTGCAGGACAGCTGTCCTCGGTGAAGGTCACGGCTTGTGAAAACATACCAAGACTGCCATAAAAGCAAATCCTTGGGAATGCCACCTCCAATGCACCCTTAAGTAGACGTGTGTACACTCGTGTCAGCGTGCCAAGATAATACAGACACAGACAGGCACACAATCACTTGTTTGTACAAACACACAGTCAATCGCTTCTTACATAATTTGAGCTCAGCACCGAATTGAGCTCAGAATCTATCAGTGTGCCTGGAGCACACTTATGCCTAATGATCAGAGTCTAATAATAAAACAGAGAAAGTGTCCATACGATTTATAAATAAAGCCCACATTTGTCATAGTGACTTGGAATTTTTAGCCCGACACGAAGTGAGAAAGAACAAACTTTAGAAAGTAATTGCAAGCCAAACACACTCGCACTACACTGACTAGAGGATTTAAATTAAAACTCAAACTTTGGCGTGCTGGGAAGGAAAATAGAAAACTGACATCACGAACTGATGTTTGCATAAATTAGCTTGGGAAGTGAGGGATATGGGCCTAATGAGGATGAAGCAACGTTTTGCATTTTAATGGGCTAAGCAAAAATGTAATAGACAAAAAAACAAATATCAATGAATTGCTAGCTATTTAAACACTAAGTGCAGCTGCACACTAATTGTCAGTATTATGAATAAAAAATGTTTTAACTAAAAATTCAAAAAATATGCAGACTCACACGAGACACTAAAGATATCATTCAACTGGGAGAAAAAAAAGGTCTATTTTTTTTTTAAAAAAAATTTAAACATCAGAATAGTCCATCAGCAGTTGGTCTATATTGGTTGTGGGGAAAGCATTGAGAGAAAATCAAAAAATGACTTTGGGAGTTGTAAAGACAGTTCAGTGGTTAAGAGCACTGGCTGCTCCTTCAGGGGACTCAGGTTCTGGTCCCAACACTCACAAGGTGTCTCATAACCATCTATAACTCCAGTTTCAAAGTATCTAACTCCCTCTTCTGGCCTCTCTGTAGGCTCTGCCCACATGTGCAACACATACATACATGCAGATCTAACACTCATACATTTAAAATAAATAAATATTTTTAAAAGATAACTATTTCTGAGATCAACAGTTTCTAATTTTAGAATTAAGTGCATAATAAAAACATTTTTGTAGTGGCATTTCACTTGTATTTTAATAAATAAAGCTTGCCGGAGGATCAGAAAAATAAAACAGCCACACTGGCTAGCCTTACAGACTGGGCAGCAATGACATACAATTTTAAACCCAGGAACGACAATGGCACACACTCTTAATCCCCGGAGCCACACTATTTTGCCATAGAAGCCAGGCGGTAGAGGTGCATGCCCTTAATTCTAGAGCTGGAGAGGATTATAAGACAAGAGAAGACAGCTCTAGGTCACAATCTCATCCTGAGGTCTCTTGGAGGCAGGATCACCATTTTCAGACTGAAGTCAAGGTAAGAATTAGTTTTCTGGTCTTCAGGTTGAACCCCAATATTTATTTCTGAGTTTTTATTAATTGTGCTTCACATTTGAAAAAGAAAAAAGTTTTCCAAGAAGTAGTAGAAGAAAAATATTCATTGAGATCCACTACTGGGCACAGGAGCAGGTGGTTTCTAGAGAATGTTGTACTGAACGTCTGCCTTCCCAGTGCACCAGAAGACAATGAACACACTGAAAAAGCACTAAAGTGCCTTTTGCAGGAGCTAACGTCACAGCATAATGCATCTTGGTGCCTACCTTCCTGAGTTCAAATCCTACCTCTACCATTTGCTGCTATGTGATGTTGCCCTCTCAGGATCCCTGTGGGAACCACAAGGACTTACATAGTCAAGGGCTCTGACTAGGGTTGGACACACGCTCAGTTACTTCAGCTAGCATAACCGTCTTCGACCAAGGCAGCAATAGCTCAGTGCAGGCATTATATTATGGTAAAATAAGCAGGAGAGTGAGCGGAGACGCTGGTGACCAGCCATGCCATGGCTAGGAAGGCAGTACGGTCAGCAGCCATGTCCCATGGCCTCTCTTTGATCAGTGTGAATGGTGAGTCCAGGCCAATTTTGAGCGAAAAAAGCAGAAGTACCCTTGTCTTCGAGACGCCTAGATGTTTGAGGTGACTCTAGGGCAGAACGAGGCATCAATGCCCTGGCTGTCTGGGGCATGCTGAGATCTAAGCACACTTTTCTACAACACCACTACCCCACACAGGATGTCTTGGTGACAGGTCAGACACCCGCCTCAGCTGATCTTGCTACAGAGTGCTTGGGAAACACCACCAAATGTTTGACTTTCTCTTGTATTTACCAAGGTCATACAAAGGACATGGCACAAAAATCAAAGTTGACACAGAGAGATCTCGTGTCAGTCTTCCCCTTTAATTTGCTAGAAGTTCCAACCTCTGAATAGAAGGAAAAGAGCCAAGGCTACAGGCATCTTGGCAGAGTGACAAGCCACCAAAAAGATGTGAATTCCCGTAAAGTAAAGACACAAAGCTCAGGCTGCTCCACACCGGTTGGTGTCCAGTCATACTGGGCCTGGGCTGGAACTCCTGCTGAGGGACCAGGGGAAAGTGGGGGGACACAGAAGCCCCAGCTACAGAGGAAGACAAGGGGGCTCTGACTGTATGCAGCCATGTGGCTGCAAGTCTGGATGCCAATCAGGCAGGATGGAATGCTCCCTGCTACCTATACAAGCCCAGGACCCAGCTGGACAGTGGGACCTGGCCAAATCCTGCTGGAAAAAAAGATGAATTCAGAACAACAATAGGCTGCATTTGGTCTGAAGGTGCCAGCTACTTCATCCTCACCTTCAAAACTTAAGCTCAGAAAGACCTCTCTCTCCAAAGGACTCTTAGGGATACTCAGTACCAGTTATTGCACCCCAAAATCATTAAAGTTGGTTATGATTTTTACAGCAATGAATGAATTCATGCTTTGTTCAAATGATGAGCAAAGTCTCATCCAGAACAGATTATCTGTTAGAATGAACTAGATTTAAAAAAAAAATATGAACAGACAAATTTCTTCTTAGTCTCAAATACCACTGGAAGATAATAACCCTCTCCAGGAGGCACCCAGTGGACAGCATTGTTAGAAGACCCTATTTTTGCTTCAGTGGTCACCACTAACTTATCATATAACCATAGACATACTATTTGAGTTTTCTGGTCTCGGATCTTCAGCGATAAACTGAATGGATTTTGTATCTTTCCTAAGTCCCTCTCCACTCTAAAATTTCATACCCTCACTTCGAGACCTTTTGGACATCACGACACAATAGTTCAGCTGGTGTCTAGAAACATCCCTGAACTATGCAAGTGAAGACATAAAAACAAACTTCAATGATTAACAGGGCATAGGTTTGAGAAAGCAGACAGGGTTCTTTGGGGTTTGATACATTTTCCTTCTACCTGTCATTATTAGGAGCTAGCTACCTGGCTGAATACCATCCACTTTCTTTTCGTTTTTATGGAGCAGAAACTTAAATATGTTAAGCATTAAGGGGCTCCTAACCATGGGCTAACAGACAAGTGACCCTCAGTGGTCTCAGTTGCCTTCAGGGTCCCCAGAGGTTCTCAAAGACTCACCTTCCACCAGCTGGTCCAGGCTGGAGACCTTCTTGACTCCATCGATGGTGTAGATGGTTCTCACTCCCTGGGGCAAATTCACGTTATCCGAGAGAGTTCGGGTCAAATCAGCCAGCAGGGCCTCGAAGGATCGGAAGCGGTCTGGAGAGATGGCGTACACAATCCCTTTGAAGTAGCGGTCACCATTTCTGTAGAATCGAACCTTCTTGGCTTTCTTCTCGGAGCTGAGCGTCTGCAGTGTGCGCGTGCGGTAGAAGCTGCAGTGGGCGCTGTGTGTGGGACTGGGCAGACCGTTCACCCGGGACCCCCTGCTGTACCTCTGCGCCTTGTCCCGTTCATCAAAATGCTCCAACTCCATATCTCTGCCAAACGACATGACTGCTTTGTGTGTGGAACCTGCGAACCCCAGAAAGAGACACAGACCTGGTTACCTGAAGATCTTGGGTTGAGAGGCTATGAGAGCTGCCGGGAGGAAACACTGCAATGACTGGTGATGTATTTGGGTTGTGGAGTGGGAGAGAAAGAGGAGGAGGATAATAAGCAAGGAATAGAAGAAAGCAGATTTCCGTGTTAACAGCCTATTACTCAGCCACAGTTTGGTTATATACAGCTCCCACTGCTGTCTGCCTACCACCCCTCAGGCTACAATCACATCCTCTCAAGGGGTCACCTGCATGTTTCTAAGCAGAGAAACTGGGGCCTGGAATATTCCTTCACATTTCCCCCAAGTAATATGAGCTGTGCCCAGGTGGTGTGCCAATCCCACCGGCAGGAAGAAAAAGTGAGCTTTCATACATCAAGCAGGGTGGGGAAGCGAAGGGGTTAGCATTTCGTGGTCAGACTGTAAGAGCTTTGACCTCTGCGTGCTCCCTATGGCCAGGTGAAGAAAAAAATTAGATCCATCTGGAGGTTCTATCTCCTTTTAAAAAAGACTTTGAACATAAGCACATATCTTATATGCTAAAACATGACTTCACTCCAGACCTTTTGCTTGTGCTTAGTAAAATAATAATAATAATAATAATAATAATAATAATAATAATAATAGAGGATTACAAAATGAGGGTGAAGGGGAAAGGAAGAGGAGGATTGTTGAACATACTTGACCCATTACTAACTCTATAACCTGAGATATCGACTTGATTGGCACCTGTAAAACTCAGAAGCAGGAATAAGAATAGTACCTATATCACCATTCATATCGGGTACTAATAAATGCAAAGTTTGCAAGTAATGAGCACTGATTTATTTAAATAAAGTGTGCTTTGTATTCCTGACCCTGGCACAGAGGTAGCTAGTGGAAACAGAGCCATCACCTACCCCCTCTTGCAAAGGAGGCACCTGACTGCCATCCCATGAGCCTCTGGAAAAGGGATCGTCCTGCCACACATTCTGCTCTCTATGGGGCCCTGTGGTCAGCAAGCTGCTTATTGGATAAAGCCATTCTTGCTAGGTAACGGATAAAGAATGGAACTCCTGTGGGAGGATCAGTTTCAACCCAACAGTCTGGAGAGTGGAAAAAGCCTCAGTCAGAAAGGATACACTTTTCATGATGAAATTCCAGGCACACTTAAATAGCATGTAAGTGAGATAGAAGTACAAAGGAAGAACCAAGCTCTCCCTTGTACTTCCCAAGTCACCGATGGGAAGTTTCCCTAGACTCAACAAAACTACCGTGTCTTCTTGTGACTATCTCTTCACGTTCAGCGAACTGACCCCCGCCCAAGCCATTCAGAATTGGTTTACATAAAAACTAACGTATCAGTTGAGTAAGTCAATTTAATTTAAAGTTTGTGATAAACTGAGTGTGGTGGGCCATCTTCAGTCCCATAGTTAAGTTTGAGGTCAACCTGGGCTACATGAGATCCTGTCCCAAAAGCCTCTAAATTAATTAGCTAGTTGATTAAATAAAACTTATAATAAGAAAATTTATACACAAAAATATAGCTAGAGAATCCAATGTCCAAAAAATGAAAAAAAAGAAAAGAATATTGATGTCCAGGATACAGTGACCGTAGGATTCAGCCAACAGTTATTTAATGTCTCTAAAAGCAACACAAACAAAAACCTCTTCTAAAACTCACAGAAGTCAGTCAGTCCCATCAAAGCAAGGTCTAAAAAGTTGGATTTACCCAGAGTCTCCAAGTTATAGTTGAGGGAGTTGGATTTTCAAGTTTCGTTTATCATGATTCCAAAGTAGGTGTTCTTTGCCCCAGGTCTATGACACTAGGCCCTGGTTCCACGTGAAGCATGAGTTTTGAAGCTATCACACCTGTCTAGCTCAGTGACTTTGTGCTGGACACCTAACTAACCAGGGGCCTTGTGTTGCAAAGTCCACTGGGAGGCCTGGGGGTACAAAGGGAAGAGCACAGTATGATTAAAGTCCTTTGTTTGAGTTCAGTGCATCTCTCCTTCAAACAGGAAAACTGACTCTCAGGTCTCAAACAATCAATCACAATCTAATTTTGCATCTTTATTAAAACTCTACCAGCTGTGAAGTGGTTTTGCTGGTTTTGAAGTAACTTACTTCAAAACAGTCACCACTGGGATCAATCCCGTAGACTTAGCTGCATTACAGAATCATAATTCTGCCCTGATATTGGTACCTGCTCCTACTTTGCCCATATATTTGTTAAGTAATCTGTTTTCAAAACGGTGTGTGAGTTGAGGATGGAAGGGAGTTTGATGAAAAGGGGGGAGGGGAGAAGGGGGACATGAAAGAGGGAGGAGAGAGTGGAGGAGTCTGCCATGTTGAGCTCACTCAGTAAGCTTCAGAACTTCCTAAGTGACAAAGGCAGAGGTGGCTTTCGATTGGGTTTGTTTCCTTTTTAAAGGCATTGACCATTCTTTCATTCCTAGAGGCTTCCTCCCAAGTAGATGTAAACAAGAAGAAATAAACAGAGAGCTAGCAAAATGTGGCACACTGATGTGACCAGAGACAGTAAAAATCCAATTCCAAGGGTCTTCAGAGGTTCACAGCTGCCAAGAAGTGTTGGCAGTTGCTTGAGCTGGGAACACTTTTAGGAACAAGACTCCAAACCAAGTGAAAATAAATCTACTTAAAGCACAGAAGAGTTTGGTTGATTTAGTCATGGGTTCATTCAGGGCAGGGATTACCTCTCCCGCTTCCCATCAGTGAGCAGGTGCAGATGGTGCCAGCAAAGCAGAACCCAACTCAAAGTGAAATTGCTGTCAAGGCCACAGCTTTGGCTAAGTGAAGGTCAAAGCCCTCCCTTCACACGTGAGTCTTGTGGTAGTCGTGTGTGGTATGAAAACACGTGCTGTCCCCTTGCCTCCGCTAGCTCAGCTTTCAGAGATGTAGTCATACACGTGAACTAAGAACTCCAGAAGAAAATTCTCTGGGCTTCCACAGGGTCACACTTCCTGTAGAAGATGTTGGCTAGAAGATGCTGGACCAGCATTCACAGACTGTGAGTGAGAGGTCTTGGGATACGTGTGTCTTGGCACCAAGAAGGGACTCTCCATCCTCAGCCACAGAGACCACAAATCATGGGTGGAGAAGAACGTGAACATTTCCTGTAAATATCACAAAGCCCCAAAAGCACCATTGTTCTTTGTGGGATTTCTCACCATTCTGAGGAATATCTATGTTCACCTTTCTCTCTATGAATGGGCTGCCATTTCAGCAATTTGGAAACACACACACACACACACACACACACACCTAGCATAAACCCTAGTTATCACATCTGGAAATCCAAGGCATATTTTAGCAGTCGGATTAGGATCCAAGTGAATAGAGATGCAAGAATAAAAGACACACGCATGTATCTTCTGAGTGCCTGCACCACCCCAAACGAACACATCACAGGATGTGAGCATCTTTTAAATTGTCCAGCATATGACCTCTCTTGAAATCCCTCCTAACCTGCATCCATGCAACATTCGATACCTGGAATGCTGCCCTACTTTCCTTTCTCATTGAAAGGCTATGATAGATATATTTAGGAACAGTCATGACACGTTTCTTTTGCGGAACACCCTGCAGTGTGGCAGCTGAGAGTATGTGCACAGTAACCTGGGCACACATTCACGGGTGCAGTCAGAGTGGGAGCCGGTTTGAATGAAACCTTCTCGCTTCCTCTCACCCACAAGCATTTTCTTGCCAAATCCAGCGGTGATGCCTCGCAAAAAACCTGGTTTCCAAAAGCAGCCTCTTTTGTGGGGCAATGCGGTGCTGTGTGTGCGCTCCCCCTAGGAGGAAAATGTCTTTTCCTCTCTGCATGTTTTTAGCACTGCAGGTACTAATTCGTACACGAGGCTGCCTGGCTGTCCCCGGAGGAACTTGAGACCATGCAAAAAGGTACTTGCAACACCCACACTGCAGCCCTCATCACCAGGCACATGCCACCCTCCTGGGCACTCGGGAACGCACACAGCACACACACACACACACACACACAATAAGAAGACAGGCCCAGCCACTCCTTCCTAGCCCACTTGGTCCTAGCTCCACAGCCAGTCCTGACAATGACAAGCGCCTCTCCCAGCTCCTCCGCCCGGGCTAGGCTCTCCATCTCCAACAACAAGGCGATGGAAAGCCTGCCGGGCCCAGCTTGCCAGACTCCCTATTTAAAGGCGGATGGCACCAGACAAAAGAGGCAGGAGCCAGCAGCCCCGAGGCCGCGGGCACACAACGCCCCGGGCCAGTCCAAACTGGCCAGCCCCAGGCAGCCGCCTTTCGAGGAAAGGCGGGCGGGGCTGCTGCCGCCCAGTGGGGTCCACCCTTGGCCGGGGCCACCAGGGTTGCGGTCAGATGGCACCGCGGGGCCTGCCCGCACCTTCCCCAGCCCAGGCAAAGCACGCACCGGTCGCGGGTGGCCGCTGGGTTGTCTGTGGCCGGCTGCTGTAGCTGTCCTCGCCGGGCTGGGCGCGGCTGGGGCTGCGGAGCACGGGCGTCTGGGTTGCAGCCGCTAGTGCACGGATGCGCCGGGGCTGGTCCTCATTGAAATGCGGTTCTCTGCTCAGCCTCACTCCTGCCTCTCTCCCGAGGAGGGCGGTGGCGCGCAAGCTTTTCTTGTGTCTCACTCGCTCTCACGCCCTCCCTTCTCCCTCCTTCTCGTGCTCCGCCCTCCCCCCCTCCTTGGCAGGGCGCACCCACAGTGCTTGCGTCCAGGGTCTTCCTCTCTCCTTTAGCCAGGTTCCTGGCTGCAATGATCTTGGTGATTTGGCTTGCCTGGACACCTCCAAAGCCTTCCCTAGACGGACTTGCCAAAGGATGGGGGTTGATTGGATGGTGGCCGAGGGGACTGAGAAAGAGAATATGGATAGAGATGGGTCTGAGCCAGGACTTGCGCAAAGCAGAGATGTGACCCAAAATCGAGGTTGCCTTCCTCAAATGAGGACCACCCCCCCCAACACACACACACACACAGCCATATCTTCTAATATGGATTAGAAAGCTAGAGGATCGCCCCCTCAAAACCGCTTTTCCTGACCTCTCTCGGAGGGGGTGGGGGGACCAGATCTTTCAAGCTAATCACTGTGATGTAACCCTCAGTACTTGAGAAGGGTCACAGCCCATCCATCATCTGCTAAGACCCCAGAACATGAGTCACTGTTGAGCCGGTGACCTCCTGCTGAGGGCTTTATTTCACAATATAAGCCTTTGATAACTTAAGGGCCACACTTTACTCTTGGAGGCCTCCTGGCTGCCAAAACTGGCGGTCTGTCAGGCTGGAAAGCCCCATAAGCTTACACAAGCCTTCCCTCCCAAGACAGGAATGTTCTCAGAGGCCAGATGTTCACAGCTTCCTCTGGATAAAAGTACCCTTTGGAGACAAGTGTGGGCATTGGGAGCCCATCCCGGGCATCTCTGGAAGCCTTAGCATAGCAGTATACAGCCCGAATATTAAAACAAGCCCAAAAAACAAACAAATAAAAACCCAGTGGTTCTCAATCTTTCTAATGCTGCAACCATTTAATACATGTCCTCATGTTATGGTGACCCCAAACTATAAAATTATTTCATCACTGCTTCATAAGCGCAATTTTGTTACTGTTACAAATTGTAAATATTTGTGCTTTCTGATGATCTTAGGCAACCCTGGAAAAAGAGTCGTTAGAGACCCCCCAAAAGGGGTCGGGACCAACATGTGAGAACCAATGCTAGCCAATACATACACTTATACCAATACATGTAGTTGTTCATCTTTCTGACTCTATATGGCTCAGTGGAAAATTTGAAATTATTTTTATCTCCTGCCCACTGGGCCCAGTTATGTATTTTACTGTTTATTATTGCTAAAAGTTATTCTGAAATACTTTCAAAATATTATATTCATGTTAGTGCCTCTTTGTTAGAAAATGCAGCTAAATGAGATGCATGTTGCATATTCAACAAGTGATGGGCTATTTACTTTTGAGCTCTGTAATAGGTCAGGGATAAGCAGGCAATGAACTCACCAAATTAACTAGATGCAAAAGTACCACACTCTGCTTCCTCAAATTCTGGTGCAAATCCAGACCCCAGGGGTAAGTCAAGAGGTTGACAGAAACCGAGTCTGCTTTATCGAGACCAGAAATCAGGGCCTCATTTATCTTGTTAGTGACAAACCCAGAGTGATTTCTGCCGAGTGTCTAACTAATTGAGATCCTCCCCTAATTCCCCCATCCCCCGTGGGCATGCTCCCAAGATCATTTCATTTTCTAAGTGGTTTGTTTATTTTAATTCTATGTGTATGAATGTTTGCCTGCATGTATGTATGTATGTATGCATGCACACCACATGCGTCAGTAGCCCTGGAGGCCAGAAGAGGATGTCACAACCCCATGAAACTGGAGTTACAGGTGGTTGTGAGCCACTGTGTGGGGGCTGGGTATCTAACCCAGGTCCTCTTCAGAAGTAGTCGATGCCATTATCCACTGAGCCATCTCTCCAGCCGCCTCACATAGCTTATTAAGCGTTTCATATAACTGAACGGCATCTGACCTTCATCCTAAGGGTTTTACTTGGGAAAAAAAATGAAGATAAAGTGTGAAAAGAAACAAGATTGTACCTGACTGTTTTAGTGAGGGAGTCTCTAGGCATCATTTACCGTCCCCCAAAAACTAGAATACAAGTGACAAGCGAATGGACGGAGGACCTTGGCAGCACCAAGCCACCAAGCTATGGCCATATCCCACAGGAAAGCAGGCTGACTAACCCACGCCAAGAACCCGACTAAAGTAAAACCTAAAGCTGTCCCAAGGTAGCCTAGGCCTTTAGAAAATGTAATTCATGTTCATTAATAATTCTTCATCCTAATAAAATGTCATAAAGTGAACAACTCAAGGAATTTTTATTTGTATTTATTTAAAAAAATAATACCTTTATTCTTTGAGAATTTCATATAATGTATTTTGATCATATTCACCACCTTCCATAATTTCTCCTAGATTCACCCTCACCTCCCGATCCATCCGATTTCATGTTTTCTTTTAAATCCCCCCGGCTGTTATGTAACAGCTTCCACTGAGGTTGAAGCATTCCACCCTGTTGAAGCAGGAAGGTAAAGAGCTCAAAATAGCTTCAGAAAGTCCCCAAACTAACTCGATGCATAAGTTCCTCCCTGCTGGCGTAAGCAATAGCAACTGAGAGTCTCTCTTAGACAGCCAGGCTGCAGAGAAGACTCTTAGGAGACTGGACACTGCTGTCTGGAAGAGGTTTAGACCAGAGTCCCGTGGAAGGACACTCCAACCTGTTAAACTGCCTAAAGGCTGTGCAGGCTGCTCCAGGTTTTCCAGCTTTTGTGAGCTGTCACCCATGCTGGGGTGGGCTTTAGTGATGCAGCTGTCTTTGAGTCGTTTCTGCTCTTGTGAGTGACCTTACAAAACTCGGTGATCCACCAAATTAGATTTTGGGGTATCCATACTTTGATCTGTCGGGGTCCCCACCTGGGGTAAGTGGGCAGGTGTGTTACATCTACCTCCCAAGGGTAAGGTCGTTACACAACATCCGTCAAATCTGTGCTGTCCCACTGCTCTGGGAGAATGTCATCTACCTATCAGGATCACACAAAACAAAAACTGATTTTTCTTTTTTCTCTCCCAACAGAGGATGCCAGAAGCCGGGGTGAGATTGGGAATTTTTTTGTTTTCCTTGGGCTTTCAGGAGTCTTGTGCATCTTCCCACAGTCACTATGATCTGGCATGGGCAACTATCCTGTCATGTTTTTAAAGTGCCACCATCTCTGGCTCTTACAGTCTTTCTGCCCTCTCTTCATCAATGGTCCCTGAGTCTTAGAGGAAGGATGTGATCAGTGCATTCCACACAAGGTCTCACTACATAACCTTGGCTGGCCTGGAACTCACCATGTAGACCAGGATAATCTCAGATTCACAGAGATCCACCTGCTGCTGCCTCTGGTACTGGGAATTAAAGGTATGTGCCACCAAGCCTGACTCAAGAAATTTTTATAAATTGGCATTATTCCCTTTTGTAATAAGAAATTGACCACCCAAAGCGATTATAACTGTATCAGTTCCCATGAGCATCAGAAGTTGCTGGAAATTTCGTTTCAGCCCAATTTATTATTTTCTCTGAGGTAAGCCAACGGAACACTAATCTGCAGAAGATCTTTCAAAGCAATTACTTTAGCTGCTCATGTATCTCTGGCACGGCACTCCAAACATACTAAGGTCCAGGTTAGATGAGGTTTGAGATCTTTATAAGAACCAAGGATCCCTTACGAACCTAGTAGTTCCTCCATAACCTTGCACTTTCCTAAGGCTCAATTCTCCACCTCCTAAGAGAAATCTAGTTTCCTATGGGTGAGCTCTCCCCAGCCCACTCTCAACCCCAACCTCTGCTCCTCAAACGCAACTTTGATCTACTTCCCTGAAGTTTTCCTGTTTGTCCCAAGTGCACCTTTTACCACAAAGGGAGCAAGTCTATCAGTCCTCACTCACCCTTGATATTCCTCATTCCCCACTGCAATCTCCTAGACCCCTCCTAGGTACCTGCAAAGCCTTAACCTGCAGCTCTCTCATATTACATGGATTAGCTTCCCTACAGTCACTTGCCTCTTGTCATCTCCCTACACATCAGCTTCTAGGGACCTGGACATGTCACAGCAAGGGTGGAAGCACTATAATTTCAAAAAGCATTGACACCCTGTTTCTAATGAAGGACCTGTTGGCAGAGGCTACTCGTTTGTTTCCCGACCACCCTGATTTGAAATGATCACACAGATTATTTGCAATACCGTTTGGCCAATAGCTTAAGCATATTGCTTATCTAGCTTTTATATCTTAAATTAACCCATTTCCATTATTTTATATTTTACCATGAGACTCGTGGCCTACCAGCAAGGTTCCAGTTGGTGGCTCACATCTTTCTCCTCTGGTGTCTACATGACATCTCACTGACTCTGCCTGCTTTCTCCCAGCATTCAGTTTAGTTTTCCTGCCTACTCTATTCTACCCTATTGCTCTATTCAGGCCAAAATAGCTTCTTTATTCAATAACCAATAAAAGAAACATATACACAGAAGGACTTCCTACACCAGGACCCTAACATGAAATTAATGTCCCTGCCAAGCACACCATGCTATTGACTCAGCAGGTAGATTAGAATTTCCATGCCATTCAGGGGTAGGTCTTCCTTCAATATCTGCTCAGTTACGTTCAGGGGAGCCCAGTGTTCTCTCTCAAAGTGTCTGCAGGTTATACTGTGTTCTTTGGTCCTATCCCTGACCTCTGCTATGAGATGTTTTTGGACTCTAATTGTAATACCTTGTATCTGGGTAGCCCCTTCAGGTGCCCATCATGTTGATGGGGTGTCAAGGCCTTCATCTTGGTTGCTAATGAAAGTTTTCAGCAGGAGCATGGTCCCAGCAGGTTTTGACAATGACAGCCCATGATCTCTCTGCAGATAAATGGTTGATGTCCAACGATTCCCTCAATGCACTTGGGTAATTATATAGACATAGTCTCTGTCACAAATAAATACAGAGCGATCCCATGGTGTCAAAAACTCACATCTGTGCACCCAAGATTACCTGCTTAGTGCCATGTTGAAGTCATGAATATCCACAGAGCACCTGATTTTGCAATCATCCATCCAATAAATAA